TGACATCCATTGACACCCATTGACATCCATTGACATCCATTGACATCCATTGACATCCATTGACATCCATTGACATCCATTGACATCCATTGACATCCATTGACACCCATTGACACCCATTGACATCCATTGACATCCATAGACACCAATGGGACACCAGCCGCACCACGACGTTGGCGTTCTCCTCCACGCTCTCACCTGGCGCCATTGACTCCCATTGACACCCATTGACATCCATTGACTCCCATTGACATCCATTGACATCCATTGACATCCATTGACATCCATTGACATCCATTGACAGCCATTGACATCCATTGACTCCCATTGACATCCATTGACACCCATTGACACCCATTGACACCCATTGACATCCATTGACACCCATTGACACCCATTGACACCCATTGACATCCATTGACACCCATTGACACCCATCGACCCCATTGACACCCATTGACAGCCATTGACAGCCATTGACACCCATTGACAGCCATTGACACCCATTGACACCATTGACAGCCATTGACACCATTGACATTTATTGACATCCACTGACACCCATTGACACCTTGACACCCATTGACACCCATGGGCGCCAATTGACATTAATTGACACCCACTGAAATCCATTGACATCCATTGACAGCCATTGACACCCCTTGACACCCATTGTAGACCATTGACATCTATTGACACCATTGACATCCATTGACACCCATTGACACCCACTGACATCCATAGCCCCCCACATCCCCCCCATAGCCCCCTATAGCGCCCCACATCCCCCTCACCGTTGACAAAGACGGCGAAGCGCAGGAAGTCCAGGTACCGCTCGCCCCCCATAGACACCCATTGACACCCATTGACACCATTGACATCCATTGACATCCATTGACATCCATTGACACCCATTGACCCCCATTGACATCCATTGACATCCATTGACACCCATTGACACCCATTGACATCCATTGACACCCATTGACACCCATTGACACCATTGACACCCATTGACACCATTGACATCCATTGACATCCATTGACACCCATTGACACCCATTGACATCCATAGCCCCCCACATCCCCCCCATAGCGCCCCACATCCCCCTCACCGTTGACAAAGACGGTGAAGCGCAGGAAGTCCAGGTACCGCTCGCCCCCCATAGACACCCATTGACACCCATTGACACCATTGACATCCATTGACATCCATTGACATCCATTGACACCCATTGACCCCCATTGACATCCATTGACATCCATTGACATCCATTGACATCCATTGACACCCATTGACATCCATAGCCCCCCATTGCCCCCCAATAGCCCCCCATAGCGCCCCACATCCCCCTCACCGTTGACGAAGACGGCGAAGCGCAGGAAGTCCAGGTACCGCTCGCCCCCCACCGGGTTCCAGCCCAGGTCGGGGTAGCCCTTGGCCAGCAGCATGGGGCAGCTCTGCAGGCCGCAGCCGGCCAGGTACGTCACCACCTGGGGGGCAGCAGTGGGGTGCATTGGGGTCCATGGGGTACAATGGGGTGCATGGGGTACAATGGGATCCATTGGGGTCCATGGGGTACAATGGGGTCCATTGGGATGCATTGGGGTGCATTGGGGTGCATTGGGGTGCAGTGGGGTCCATGGGGTACAATGGGGTGCATTGGGTACAATGGGGCCCATTGGGGGACATGGTGCGGCTCTGCAGGCCGCAGCCGGCCAGGTACGTCACCACCTGGGGGGCAGCAGTGGGGTGCATTGGGGTCAATGGGGTACAATGGGGTCCATGGGGTACAATGGGGTGCATTGGGGTGCATTGGGGTCCATGGGGTGCAATGGGGTGCATTGGGTACAATGGGGCCCATTGGGGACATGGGGCAGCTCTGCAGGCCGCAGCCGGCCAGGTACGTCACCACCTGGGGGGCAGCAGTGGGGCGCATTGGGTACAATGGGATCCATTGGGGTCCATGGGGTACAATGGGGTGCATTGGGTATAATGGGATTCATTGGGGTCCATGGGGTACAATGGGGTGCATTGGGTACAATGGGATTCATTGGGGTCCATGGGGTACAATGGGGTGCATTGGGTACGATGGGGCCCATTGGGGTGCATTGGGGTGCACTGGGGACATGGGGCAGCTCTGCAGGCCGCAGCCGGCCAGGTACGTCACCACCTGGGGGGCAGCAGTGGGGCGCATTGGGGTCCATTGGGGCCCATTGGGGTCCATGGGGTACAATGGGGTGCATTGGGTACAATGGGGCGCATTGGGGTCCATTGGGGTGCATTGGGGTCCATGAGGTGCAATGGGGTGCATTGGGTACAGTGGGGGACATTGGGTACAATGGGGTGCATTGAGGTGCATTGGGGTGCATTGGGGCCCATTAGGGTGCATCGGGGTGCATTGGGGTGCACTGGGGTCCATTGGGGTGCATTGGGGTGCATTGGGGTGCATTGGGGTCCATTGAGGTCCATTGGGATCCATTGGGGTGCATTGGGGTGCAGGGGGGTCCATTGGGGTCCATTGGGGTGCATTGGGGTGCATTGGGATGCATTGGGGTCCATTGGGGTGCATTGGGGTGCACTGGGGTGCATTGGGGTCCATTGGGGTGCATTGGGGTGCATTGGGGTCCATGGGGGTGCATTGGGGTGCATTGGGGTGCATTGGGGTGCATTGGGGCCCATTGGGGTGTATCGGGGTGCATTGGGGTGCATGGGGGTCCATTGGGGTGCATTGGGGTGCATTGGGGTGCATTGGGGTCCATTGGGGTGCATTGGGGTGCATTGGGACCCATTGGGGTCCATTGGGGTGCATTGGGTTCATTGGGGTGCATTGGGGTCCATTGGGGTGCATTGGGGTGCATTGGGGTGCATTGGGGTGCATTGGGGTGCATTGGGGTGCATTGGGGTCCATGGGGGTCCATGGGGGTGCATTGGGGTGAATTGGGGTCCATTGGGGTCCATTGGGGTCCATGGGGGTCCATGGGGGTCCATTGGGGTGCATTGGGGTGCATTGGGGTCCATTGGGGTGCATTGGGTCCATTGGGGTCCATTGGGGGCCATTGGGGTCCATTAGGGGCCATTGGGGTCCATTGGGGGCCATTGGGGTCCATTGGGGTCCATTGGGGTGCATTGGGGTGCAATGGGGTGCATTGGGATGCACTGGGGTGCATTGGGGTGCATTGGGGTCCATTGGGATGCATTGGGGTGCATTGGGATGCACTGGGGTCCATTGGGGTGCATTGGGGTCCATTGGGGTGCATTGGGGTGCATGGGGGTCCATTGGGGTGCATGGGGGTGCAGGGGGGTCCCCACCTTCTCCAGGTCCTGCTCCTTGAGCGCCAGCGCCAGCTCGTTGTTGTCGATGACGGAGGCGGCCGCCACGTCCAGGGGGGTCGAACCCCGCATCCCTGGGGGGGGGAAACACATGGGGGTCAGGGGCACCCCAATGGCGGTGCCAATGGGGGTACCATGGGGTGCCATAGGGGTGAGATGGGGGTGCCATAGGGGTGATATGGGGGTGCCATGGGGTGCCATATGGGTACCCTTGGGTTGCCATAGGGGTACCCTTGGGTTGCCATGGAGCATCCCTTGGGTTGCCATGGTGACACCATAGGGGTACCATAGGGGTGCCATAGGGGTGATATGGGGGTGCCATGGGGTACCATAGGGGTGCCATAGGGGTGCCATAGGGGTGCCATAGGGGTGATATGGGGGTGCCATGGGGTGCCATAGGGGTGCCATAGGGGTGCCATAGGGGTGCCATAGGGGTGCCATAGGGGTGCATAGGGGTTGGGTTGCCATGGGGGTGCCCTAGGGGTGGGGTGCCATAGGGGTGCCATAGGGGTGATATGGGGGTGCCATAGGGGTACCATAGGGGTGCCATAGGGGTGATATGGGGGTGCCATAGGGGTGCCATAGGGGTGATATGGGGGTGCCATAGGGGTGCCATAGGGGTGCCATAGGGGTGATATGGGGGTGCCATAGGGGTACCATAGGGGTGCCATAGGGGTGATATGGGGGTGCCATGGGGTACCATAGGCATAGCCTTGGGTTGCCATGGGGGTACCCTTGGGGTACCATAGGGGTGCCATAGGGGTGATATGGGGGTGTCATAGGGGCACCATAGGGGTGCCATAGGGGTGAAATGGGGTGCCATAGGGGTGATATGGGGGTGCCATAGGGGTACCATAGGGGTATCATTGGGGTGCCACATGGGTACCCTTGGGTTGCCATGGAGCATCCCTTGGGTTGCCATGGTGACACCACAGGGGTACCATAGGGATGCCATAGAGGTATCCTTGGGTTGCCATGGGGGCACCCTTGGGTTGCCATGGAGCATCCCTTGGGTTGCCATGGCAGTACCCTTTGGTTGCCATGGGGGTACCATGGGTGCACCCTGCGGTTGCCATGGGGATACCCTGTGGTTGCCATGGGGGTACCAAGGGGGCATCCTGCAGCTGCCATGGGGATACCCCTTGGTTGCCATGGGGATACGCTGCGGTTGCCATGGGGATAGGCTGCGGTTGCCAAGGGTGCACCCTTTGGTTGCCATGGGTACATGCTGTGGCTGCCATGGGGGTACCACGGAGCATCCCTTTGGTTTCCATGGGGATAGGCTGCGGTTGCCATGGGGATACCATGGAGCATCCCTTTGGTTGCCATGAGGATAGGCTGCGGTTGCCATGGGGCTGGGCTGCGGTTGCCATGGGGGTACCATGGAGCACCCCTTTGGTTGCCATGGGGCTGGGCTGTGGTTGCCATGGGGGTACCATGGAGCATCCCTTTGGTTGCCATGGGGATACCCTCGTGTTGCCATGGGGATACCCTTTGGTTGCCATGAGGATAGGCTGTGGTTGCCATGGGGGTACCATGGAGCATCCCTTTGGTTGCCATGGGGATAGGCTGCGGTTGCCATGGGGATGGGCTGTGGTTGCCATGGGGATGGGCTGAGGTTGCCATGGGGCTGGGCTGTGGTTGCCATGGGGATGGGCTGAGGTTGCCATGGGGCTGGGCCGCGGTTGCCATGGGGGTACCATGGAGCATCCCTGCGGTTGCCATGGGGATACCCTGCGGTTGCCATGGGGCTGAGCTGTGGTTGCCATGGGGATAGGCCGCGGTTGCCATGGGGGTACCATGGAGCATCCCTGCGGTTGCCATGGGGGTACCATGGAGCATCCCTTTGGTTGCCACGGGGCTGGGCTGCGGTTGCCATGGGGGTACCCTCGTGTTGCCATGGGGGTACCATGGAGCATCCCTTTGGTTGCCATGGGGCCGGGCCGCGGTTGCCATGGGGCCGGGCCACGGTTGCCATGGGGATACCCTTTGGTTGCCATGGGGGTACCCTCGTCTTGCCATGGGGATAGGCTGCGGTTGCCATGGGGGTACCATGGAGCATCCCTTTGGTTGCCATGGGGATACCCTCGGGTTGCCATGGGGATACCCTCGGGTTGCCATGGGGATACCACGGAGCATCCCTGTGGTTGCTACGGGGCCGGGCCGCGGTTGCCATGGAGCATCCCTGCGGTTGCCATGGGGGTACCACGGAGCATCCCTTTGGTTGCCATGGGGCTGGGCTGTGGTAGCCATGGGGATACCCTTTGGTTGCCATGGGGATACCACGGAGCATCCCTTTGGTTGCCATGGGGGTACCATGGAGCATCCCTGCGGTTGCCACGGGGATACCCTCGTGTTGCCATGGGGGTACCCTTTGGTTGCCACGGGGATACCCTTTGGTTGCCATGGGGATACCACGGAGCATCCCTGCGGTTGCCACGGGGCTCACCGAGGCCGATGCTGCTGTTCTCCAGCAGGTAGCCCAGGTGGTCGAACATGGAGCGCTGGTTCTGGCGGCTGATCCGGCAGAAGTAGCACAGGAAGCGGCAGCAGCTCGTGACCATCTTGGGGAAGCGGATCTCCTGCGCCCGGAACAGCGGGAATGGGGGTCAGGAACAGCGGGAATGGGGGTCGGGAACACCGGGAATGGGGTCGGGAATGATGGGAATGGGGTTGGGATAACGGGAATGGGGTGAGGGATAACGGGAATGGGGTGAGGGAACAGCGGGAATGGGGTCGGGAATGATGGGAATGGGGGTGGGATAACGGGAACGGGGTGGGGAGAGAGGGAATGTGGTGAGGGAACAGCGGGAATGGGGTCGGGAACAGCGGGAATGGGGTTGGGAACAACGGGAACGGGTGAGGGATAACAGGAATGGGGTCAGGAACAGCGGGAATGAGGTTGGGATAACGGGAATGGGGTTGGGAACAGCGGGACTGGGATGGGGAGCGAGGGAATGGGGTTGGGAGCAGCGGGAATGGGGTTGGGAACAACGGGAATGGGGTTGGAACAGCGGGAATGGGGTTGGGAATGATGGGAATGGGGTTGGGAACAGCGGGAATGGGGTTGGGGAGAGAGGGAATGGGGTTGGGAATGATGGGAATGGGGTTGGGGAGAGAGGGAATGGGGTTGGGAACAGCGGGAATGGGGTTGAGAATGATGGGAATGGGGTTGGGAGTGAGGGAATGGGGTGGGGAGAGAGGGAATGGGGTTGGGAATGATGGGAATGGGGTCAGGAACAACGGGAATGGGGTTGGGAACAGCGGGAATGGGGTCGGGAATGATGGGAATGGGGGTCAGGAACAACGGGAATGGGGTTGGGATAACAGGAATGGGGTGAGGGAACAGCGGGAATGGGGTTGGGATAATGGGAATGGGGTTGGAACAGCAGGAATGGGGTTGGGAACAGCGGGAATGGGGTTGGGAACAGCAGGAATGGGGTTGGGATAACGGGAACGGGGTCAGGAACAACGGGAACGGGGTGAGGGAACACCGGGAATAGGATGGGGAGAGAGGGAATGGGGTGGGGAACAGCGGGAATAGGGTTGGGAACACCAGGATGGGGGTGGGGAACACGGGGAAGGGGGTGAGGGGAGAATGGGAAGGGGGTTGGGAGAACGGGAATGGGGTGGGGGGAGAACGGGAATGGGGTTGGGGGGAGAGGGAATGGGGTCAGGAGAACGGGAAGGGGGTCGGGATAACGGGAATGGGGTGGGGGGAGAGGGAATGGGGTGGGGAGAATGATAATGGGGGTGGGATAATGGGAATGGGGTTGGGGATAACGGGAATGGGGTCAGGGATAGCAGGAATGGGGTCAGGGACACTGGGAATGGGGCTGGGAATATGGGGAATGGGGCTGGGAATACCAGTAATGGGGTCCAGGACACTGGGAATGGGGTTGGGGGTGCCGGGAATGGGGTTGGGAATACTGGGAATGGGGTTGGGAGCACTGGGAATGGGGTTGGGAGCACTGGGAATGGGCTCAGGAATACTGGGAATGGGGTTGGGAGCACTGGGATTGGGGTTGGGAGCACTGGGAATGGGGTTGGGAATGATGGGAATGGGGTTGGGAACACTGGGAATGGGGTTGGGATAAGGGCAATGGGGCTGGGATAAGGGCAATGGGGCTGGGATGAGGGCAATGGGTTTGGGATGAGGGCAATGGGGCTGGGATAAGGGCAATGGGTTTGGGATGAGGGCAATGGGGCTGGGATGAGGGCAATGGGGCTGGGATAAGGGCAATGGGGCTGGGATGAGGGCAATGGGGCTGGGATAAGGGCAATGGGGCTGGGATAAGGGCAATGGGGCTGGGATGAGGGCAATGGGGCTGGGATAAGGGCAATGGGGCTGGGATGAGGGCAATGGGGCTGGGATGAGGGCAATGGGGCTGGGATAAGGGCAATGGGTTTGGGATAAGGGCAATGGGTTTGGGATGAGGGCAATGGGGCTGGGATAAGGGCAATCGGGCTGGGATGAGGGCAATGGGGCTGGGATGAGGGCAATGGGGCTGGGATGAGGGCAATGGGGCTGGGATGAGGGCAATGGGGCTGGGATGAGGGCAATGGGGCTGGGATACGGGCAATGGGGCTGGGATGAGGGCAATGGGGCTGGGATGAGGGCAATGGGGCTGGGATGAGGGCAATGGGGCTGGGATGAGGGCAATGGGGCTGGGATAAGGCAATGGGGCTGGGATGAGGGCAATGGGGCTGGGATGAGGGCAATGGGGCTGGGATGAGGGCAATGGGGCTGGGATAAGGGCAATGGGGCTGGGATGAGGGCAATGGGGCTGGGATGAGGGCAATGGGGCTGGGATGAGGGCAATGGGGCTGGGATGAGGGCAATGGGGCTGGGATGAGGGCAATGGGGCTGGGATGAGGGCAATGGGGCTGGGATGAGGGCAATGGGGCTGGGATGAGGCTATGGGGCTGGGATGAGGGCAATGGGGCTGGGATGAGGACAATGGGGCTGGGATGAGGCTATGGGATGAGGGAATGGGGCAGGGATGAGGGAATGGGGCAGGGATGAGGGAATGGGGCAGGGATGAGGGAATGGGGCTGGGATGAGGGCAATGGGGCTGGGATGAGGGCAATGGGGCTGGGATGAGGGCAATGGGGCTGGGATGAGGGCAATGGGGCTGGGATGAGGCTATGGGGCTGGGATGAGGGCAATGGGGCTGGGATGAGGGCAATGGGGCCGGGATAAGGGCAATGGGGCCGGGATGAGGGCAATGGGGCCGGGATGAGGGCAATGGGGCAGGGGCTCACCTTGAGGGCAACCATGACCTGCATCACGGCTGGGATGAGCGCCCGCATCAGGTTGGGGTGCTGGTAGAAGACTTTGTTGTTCATGATGTTCCTGGGGGGGGAAAAAGGGGGGTTATGGGGGGCCCGGGGGGTGGGGGGGGAATGGGAGCTATGGGGGGGCCCATGGGGATATGGGGGTCTGCAGGGATGCTGATGGGTCCCCATGACGCCAAGGGCAGGGATGCTCGGGGATGCTGTTGGTACCCAAGGGATGCTCAGGGATGCTGTTGGGTACCCAAGGGATGCTCAGGGATGCTGTGGGTACAGGGATGCTCACCTTGCTCTCGCCGCCCAAGGATGCTCAAGGATGACCTGCATCACGGGTATCCAAGGGATGCTCAGGCCCGCATGCCGTTGGGTACCCTGGATGCTCAGGGATGCCTTTGTTGTTCCCAAGGGATGTTCCTGGGATGCCGTTGGTTACCCAAGGGATGCTCAGGGGGTGGGGGGTACCCAAGGGCTGCTGGGGGGGCCATGGGGATATGGGGATGCTGCAGGGATGCTGATGGGTCCCCAAAGGATGCCAAGGGTACAGGGATGCTCGGGGATGCTGTTGGTACCCAAGGGATGCTCAGGGATGCCCTTGGGTACCACAGGGATGCTCAGGGATGCTGTTGGGTACCACAGGGATGCTCAGGGATGCTGTTGGGTACACAAGGGATGCTCAGGGTTGCTCTTGGGTACCCAAGGGATGCTCAGGGATGCTGTTGGGTACCCAAAGGATGCCGTTGGGTACCCAAGGGATGCTCAGGACTGCTCAGGGATGCCGTTGGGTACCCCAGGGATGCTCAAGGATGCCATTGGGTACCCAAAGGATGCTGTTGGGTACCCAAAGGATGCTGTTGGGTACCCAAGGGATGCTCAGGACTGCTCAGTGATGCCGTTGGGTACCCAAGGGATGCTCGGGGATGCTGTTGGGTACCACAGGGATGCTCGGGGATGCTCTTGGGTACCCAAGGGATGCTCAGGGATGCTGTTGGGTACCCAAGGGATGCTCAGGGATGCTGTTGGTACCCAAGGGATGCTCAGGGATGCCGTTGGGTACCCAAGGGATGCTCAAGGATGCCGTTGGGTACCCCAGGGATGCTCAGCGATGCTCAGGGATGCTCTTGGGTACCCAAGGGATGCTCAGGGATGCCGTTGGGTACCCAAAGGATGCCGTTGGGTACCCAAGGGATGCTCAGGGATGCCGTTGGGTACCCAAGGGATGCTCAAGGATGCCGTTGGGTACCCAAGGGATGCTCAAGGATGCCGTTGGGTACCCAAGGGATGCTCAAGGATGCTGTTGGGTACCCCAGGGATGCTCAAGGATGCCGTTGGGTACCCAAAGGATGCCGTTGGGTACCCAAGGGATGCTCAAGGATGCCGTCGGTCCCCCCTAGGACGCAGCGGCAGGCGCGGCGCTCACCCGATGCTCTGGATGAGCAGGTTCTCCTCCTCGGGCCCCATCTGCACGATGAGCAGGGAGCGGATCTGGCTGAGGCTCTCGAGGAGGGCGGTGGCGTCGGGCACGGAGCGGGAGCTGAGGGCGTAGGCGCGGGGCAGGGCCCGCACCAGCTCCCCCAGGGCATCGTATTGGCGGTGCAGGAGGCTGAACATGGCCCGGACGAGCTCCGGGCTCTGGATGAAGGATTCCTGAGCCCAGTGCACCATGGTCTGAGAGATGAGGGCCTGCAGGGAGCCTGTGGGGAGCAATGGGGAGATGGGGGGCATTGGGGTACCCATGGGGGGCATTGGGGTACCCATGGGGGGCATTGGGGATGGGGACATGGGGTACCCATAGGGGGCATTGGGGTATCCATGGGGGGCATTGGGGATGGGGATGGGGACATGGGGGGATGAAGGATTCCTGAGCCCAGTGAACCATGGTCTGAGAGATGAGGGCCTGCAGGGAGCCTGTGGGGAGCAATGGGGAGATGGGGGGCATTGGGGTACCCATGGGGGGCATTGGGGTACCCATGGGGGGTATTGGGGACATGGGGTACCAATAGGTAGGGATGGGGACATGGGGTACCCATAGGGGGCATTGGGGTACCCATGGGGGGCATTGGGGATGGGATGGGGACATGGGGGACCCATGGATGGGGATGGGGACATGGGGTACCAATAGGTAGGGATGGGGACATGGGGTACCCATAGGGGGCATTGGGGATGGGATGGGGACGTGGGGGACCCATGGATGGGGATGGGGTCATGGGATACCAATAGGTAGGGATGGGGACATGGGGTACCCATGGGGGGCATTGGGGTACCCATGGGTGGGGATGGGGACATGGGGTACCAATAGGTAGGGATGGGGACAAGGGGTACCCTAGGGGGCATTGGGGATGAGGATGGGGCCTGGGGGACCCATGGATGGGGATGGGGTCATGGGATACCAATAGGTAGGGATGGGGACATGGGGTACCCATAGGGGGTATTGGGGATGGGGATGGGGACATGGGGGGATGAAGGCTTCCTGAGCCCAGTGCACCATGGTCTGAGAGATGAGGGCCTGCAGGGAGCCTGTGGGGAGCAATGGGGAGATGGGGGGCATTGGGGTACCCATAGGGGGCATTGGGGTATCCATGGGTGGGGATGGGGACATGGGGTACCAATAGGTAGGGATGGGGACATGGGGTATCCATAGGGGACATTGGGAATGGGGGACCCATGGGGGCCATTGGGGATGGGGACATGGGGTACCCATAGGGGGCAATGGGGATGGGGGGACCCATGGGGGGTATTGGGGATGGGGACTTGGGGTACCCATGGATGGGGATGGGACCATGGGGTACCCATGGATGGGGATGGGGCTATGGGATACCCATGGGGGGCATTAGGGATGTGGCACCCATGGGTGCAGATGGGGCCCTGTGATACCCATGGATGGGGATGGGACCATGGGGTACCCATGGATGGGGATGGGGCTATGGGATACCCATGGAGGGCATTAGGGATGGGGACAGGGGGTACCCATGGGGGGCATTGGGGATGGGGCACCCATGGGTGCAGATGGGGACATGGGGTACCCATGGGGGGCATTAGGGATGGTGCCATGGGGTACCCATGGATGGGGATGGGGCCATGGGGTACCCATGGGGTGCATTAGGGATGGGGCACCCATGGGTGCAGATGGAGACCTGTGGTACCCATGGATGGGGATGGTGCCATGGGGTACCCATGGGGGGCATCGGGGATGGGGCACCCATGGGTGCAGATGGTGCCATGGGGTACCCATGGGGGGGCATTAGGGATGGGGCCATGGGGCACCCATGGATGGGGATGGTGCCATGGGGTGCATTGGGGATGTGGCACCCATGGGTGCAGATGGAGACCTGTGGTACCCATGGATGGGGATGGTGCCATGGGGTACCCATGGATGGGGATGGGGCCATGGGGCACCCATGGATGGGGATGGGACCACGGGGTACCCATGGGGGGGCAGTAGGGATGGTGCCATGGGGTACCCATGGATGGGGATGGGGACTTGGGGTACCCATGGATGGGGATGGTGCCATGGGGCACCCATGGATGGGGATGGGACCATGGGGGACATTGGGGATGGGGCACCCATGGGTGCAGATGGGGACCTGTGGTACCCATGGATGGGGATGGGACCATGGGGCACCCATGGATGGGGATGGGGCCATGGGGCACCCATGGATGGGGATGGGGCCATGGGGCACCCATGGATGGGGATGGTGCCATGTGGCACCCATGGATGGGGATGGTGCCATGGGGCACCCATGGATAGGGATGGGACCATGGGGCGCATTGGGGATGTGGCACCCATGGGTGCAGAAGGGTCCCTGGGTGCTCCCCCCCCCCTCACTGGGTGCCGGCGGCTCCTCGGGGGGGGGCTCCTCCTCCTTGGGGCCCCCCCTGCGCCCCAGCACTTTGTGCACCAGCCCCAGCAGCCGCTGCCCCACTGACGCCTCCTCCTCCTCCTCCTCTTCCTCCGTGGGCAGCTCCAGCCCTGGGGGGGGAACAGGGGGGGGTTAGAGGGGGGGCTTATGGGGGGTTGTCTATGGGGGGGTCTTTATGGGGGGGTCCCAATGGGGGGGGTCCTTATGGGGGGGGCCCCATGGTGGGGGGGGCCTATGGGTCTCTATGGGTCCCTATAGGGTCCCTATGGGTCCCTATGGGGTTCTCTACGGGTCCCTATGGGTTCCCATGGGTCTCTATGGGGTCCCTATGGGTCTCTATGGGTCCCTATAGGGTCTCTATGGGGTTCTCTATGGGTGCCCTGTGGGGTCTCTATGGGGTCCCTTTGGGTCCCTATGGGCCCCTATGGGGTCGCTATGGGTCCCTATGGGGTCCCTATGGGGTCCCTATGGGGTTATTATGGGATGCTATGGTTACTATGGGGTCTCTATGGGTCTCTATGGGTCCCTATGGGTTCCCTATGGGGTTATTATGGGATGTTAGGGTCCCTATGGGGTCCCTATGGGGTTATTATGGGGTGTTAGGGTTGCTATGGGGTCGGTATGGGTCCCTATGGGGTCCCTATGGGGTTCCCTATGGGTTCCCTATGGGGTCTCTATGGGTTCCCTATGGGGTCCCTATGGGGTCTCTATGGGGTCTCTATGGGTCCCTATGGGTTCCCTATGGGGTTATTATGGGATGTTATGGTTACTATGGGGTCACTATGGGTCTCTATGGGTCCCTATGGGTTCCCTATGGGGTTATTATGGGATGCTATGGTTACTATGGGGTCTCTATGGGTCCCTATGGGTTCCCTATGGGGTTCTATGGGGTCCCTATGGGTCTCTATGGGTCTCTATGGGTCTCTATGGGTCCCTATGGGTCTCTATGGGTCTCTATGGGTCCCTATGGGTCTCTATGGGTCCCTATGGGTCTCTATGGGTCCCTATGGGTCCCTATGGGTCTCTATGGGTCCCTATGGGTCCCTATGGGTCCCCGCTCACCGCAATGGGCCAGGAGGTCCCTATGGAAGTCCTGGAGCTCGCCCCGGATGTCCTCGGGCACCGGGCACTCCTCCTCGTCCGGGCCCTCCTTGTAGTGCAGCAGCATGTTCACCTATGGGGCAGCATGGGGGGCATGGGGGGCATGGGGGGGAATGGGGGGGACATGGGGGGGACATGGGGGGGACATGGGGGGGGGATATGGGGGGGACATGGGGATGGGGGGGGACATGGGGGGGATATGGGGGGGACAAGGGGGGCACATGGGGGGGATATGGGGGGATATGGGGGGAATGGGGGGATGTGGGGGGCGGATATGGGGGAACAATGGGGGGGAGATGGGGGGTGACAATGGGGGGGATATGGGGGGGAATGGGGGGAACATGGGGGAGACATGGGGGGAAATGGGGGGGGACATGGGGGGGATATGGGGGGGATGGGGGGGATTTGGGGGAGAATGGGGGGATGGGGGATATGGGGGGGACCGGGGGGGAATGGGGGAGGGACATGGGGGGATGGGGGGGGGGGGACATGGGGGGCATATGTCATGGGGGGACATGGGGGGGATATGGGGATATGGGGGACATGGGGGGGATTGTAGTGCAGCAGCATGTTCACCTATGGGGGACATGGGGGGATATGGGGGGTATATGGGGGGGAAATGGGATATGGGGGGAGTAATGGGGGGGATATGGGGGGGATATGGGGGGACATGGGGGGGACATGGGGGGGATATGGGGGGATATGGGGGGAGACATGGGGGGGATATGGGGGGGACATGGGGGGGATATGGGGGGGATATGGGGGGAACATGGGGGGGGACATGGGGGGGAATGGGGGGGATATGGGGGGGACATGGGGGGAACATGGGGGAGACATGGGGGGAAATGGGGGGGGACATGGGGGGGATATGGGGGGGGACATGGTGGGGGCAAAGGGGTCAGCTCCTGCCCAGCCAGAGAGCATCCCTGCTGCAAGGACCCATCCCCATCCCCACATCATCCCCATCCTCATCCTCACCTGATTCCTATCAGCATCCCCACCCCATCCTCATCAGCATCCCTGTGATCATCCTCACCCCATCCCCATCCCCACATCATCCCCATCCCCATCCTCACCTCTCCTGATTCCCATCAGCATCCTCATCCCCATCCCCAACAGCATCCTTATCTGCATCTGCATCCCCATCCTCATCCTCACCCCATCCCCATCCCCACATCATCCCCATCCTCATCCTCACCTATCCCGATTCCTATCAGCATCCCCATCCCATCCTCATCAGCATCCCTGTGAGCATCCTCATCCCATCCCCATCCCCACATCATCCCTATCCTCATCCTCACCTATGCTGATTCCTGTCAGCATCCTCAGCCCCATCCCCATCCCCATCCTCATCCTCACCCCCATCCCTATCAGCGTCCTCATCCCCATCCAATCCCCATCAGCATCCTTATCTGCATCTGCATCCCTATCAGCATCCCCACCCCACCCCATCCCCATCCCTGTCCCCATCCTCATCCTCACCTGATTCCTATCAGCATCCCCATCCCCAACAGCATCCCTATGAGCATCCTCATCCCATCCCATCCCCATCCCCACATCATCCCATCCCCATCAGCATCCCTATAAGCATCCTCATCCCAATCAGCATCCTCATCCTCATCCCATCCCCATCAGCATCCCTATGAGCATCCTCACCCCCATCAGCATCCCTATGAGCATCCTCACCCCCATCAGCATCCTCATCCCAATCCCATCCCCATCAGCATCCTCATCCTCATCCCCATCAGCATCCTCATCCTCATCCTCATCCCCATCAGCATCCTCATCCTCATCCTCATCCCCATCAGCATCCTCATCCTCATCCTCATCCTCATCCTCATCCCATCCCCATCAGCATCCTCATCCTCATCCCCATCCTCATCCTCATCCCCATCCCCATCAGCATCCTCATCTCCATCTTCATCCCTATCAGCACCCCCCCACACCTGTTCCTGCGGTGGGGAGCGGAACTCCCGCGTCCTCCATCCCTATCAGCACCCCATTCCCCACCCCCACCCCACCCCACCCCATCCCCACCCCATCCCATCCCCATCAGCATCCCTATGAGCATCCTCATCCCCATCATCATCCTCATCTGCATCCCCATCAGCATCCTCATCCCCATCCTCATACCCATCAGCATCCTCATCTCCATCTTCATCCCTATCAGCATCCCATTACCCACCCCACCCCATCCCCATCCACGTCTGCATCCCTATGAGCATCCTCAATCCCATCCCATCCCCATCAGCATCCCTATGAGCATCCTCATCCTCATCAGCATCCTCATCCTCATCCTCATCAGCATCATCCTCATCCCATCCCCATCAGCATCCTCATCCTCATCAGCATCCTCATCCTCATCCTCATCAGCATCATCCTCATCCCATCCCCATCAGCATCCTCATCCTCATCAGCATCCTCATCCTCATCCTCATCAGCATCATCCTCATCCCATCCCCATCAGCATCCTCATCCCCATCCCATCCCCATCAGCATCCTCATCTCCATCTTCATCCCTATCAGCACCCCATTCCCCCCCCATCCCCATCCACGTCTGCATCCCTATGAGCATCCTCATCCCCATCCCATCCCCATCTGCATCCTCATCTCCATCTTCATCCCCATCAGCACCCCATTCCCCCCCCCCCCACACCTGCTCCTGCGGTGGGGAGCGGAACTCCCGCGTCCTCCATCCCTATCAGCACCCCAACCCCCACCCCACCCCATCCCATCCCCATCAGCATCCCTATGAGCATCCTCATCCCCATCAGCATCCTCATCCTTATCCTCATCCTCATCCTCATCCCCATCAGCATCCTCATCCTCATGCCATCCCCATCAGCATCCCTATGAGCATCCTCATCCCCATCAGCATCCTCATCCTCATCCTCATCTCCATCTTCATCCCTATCAGCATCCTCATCCTCATCCCCATCAGCATCCTCATCCCATCCCCATCAGCATCCTCATCCTCATCCTCATCCCCATCCTCATCCCCATCCCATCCCCATCAGCATCCTCATCCTCATCCCCATCCCATCCCCATCCCCATCCCATCCCCATCAGCATCCTCATCCTCATCCCATCCCCATCAGCATCCTCATCCCCATCCCATCCCCATCAGCATCCTCATCCGCATCCCATCCCCATCAGCATCCCTATGAGCATCCTCATCCCCATCAGCATCCTCATCCTCATCAGCACCCTCATCCTCATCCTCATCCCCATCAGCATCCTCATCCCCATCAGCATCCTCATCCCCATCAGCATCCTCATCTCCATCTTCATCCCTATCAGCACCCCCCCCCACCTGCTCCTGCGGTGGGGAGCGGAACTCCCTCGTCCTCCGCGCCGTCTCCGCCGCGCTCATGCTCAGCGCCCGCATGAGGCGCCCGTAGCGCCCGCGCTGGTCCCGCTGCAGGCGCCGCACGTGGCGCTCCGAGAAGGCCACGACCGCCTCGACGCGGTGCTGCAGCTCCCGCGAGCAGAAGAACTGCAGCAGCTCGCACATCTGCATGGGTGCATGGGATCTGTGGGGATCTATGGGGATCTATGGGGATCTATGGGGATCTATGGGGATCTGTGGGGATCTATGGGGATCTATGGGGATCTATGGGGATCTATGGGGTGTGGGGACACCTGGACGCGGTGCTGCAGCTCCCGCGAGCAGAAGAACTGCAGCAGCTCGCACATCTGCATGGGGACAGGGGATCTGTGGGGATCTATGGGGATCTATGGGGATCTATGGGGATCTGTGGGGATCTGTGGGGATCTATGGGGATCTGTGGGGATCTATGGGGAGCTATGGGGAGCTATGGGGATCTATGGGGATCTGTGGGGATCTATGGGGATCTGTGGGGATCTATGGGGAGCTATGGGGATCTATGGGGATCTATGGGGAGCTATGGGGAGCTATGGGGAGCTATGGGGATCTATGGGGATCTATGGGGATCTATGGGGATCTATGGGGATCTATGGGGTGTGGGGACACCTGGACGCGGTGCTGCAGCTCCCGCGAGCAGAAGAACTGCAGCAGCTCGCACATCTGCATGGGGACAGGGGATCTATGGGGATCTATGGGGATCTATGGGGTGTGGGGTATGGGGTATGGGATATGGGGCATAGCATATGGGATATGGGATACAGGGTACAGGGTATGGGATACAGGATATGGGGTATGGGATATGGAATATGGGATATGGGGTATGGGGTATGGGGTATGCGGTGTGGGATATGGGATATGGGATATGGGGTATGGGATATGAGATATGGGGTATGGGATATGGGGTATGGGGTATGGGGTGTGGGATACGGGGTATGAGATATGGGATATGGGGTATGGGATATGGGGTATGGGATATAGGGCATACATGGGATATGGGGTATGGGATATGGGGTATGGGATATGGGATATGGGGTATGGGATATGGGGTATGGGATATGGGATATGGGGTATGGGATATAGGGCATACATGGGATATGGGGTATGGGATATGGGATATGGGGTATGGGATATGGGGTATGGGATATGGGATATGGGGTGTGGGATATGGGATATGGGGTATGGGATATGGGATATGGGGTATGGGATATAGGGCATACATGGGATATGGGGTATGGGATATGGGATATGGGGTATGGGATATGGGGTATGGGATATGGGATATGGGGTGTGGGATATGGGATATGGGGTGTGGGATATGGGATATGGGATATGGGGTATGGGATATGAGATATGGGGTGTGGGATATGGGGTATGGGGACTCGGACCATGGAGGTCCCCCCTCACCTGCAGCTTGACCGACTCCGGCAGCTTCATCTGCAGCAGCCCCTCCTGCAGGCCTTCCTCCTCCTTCTCCTCCTCCTCCTTCTTCTCCTTCTCCTCCTCTTCCTCCTCTCCCTTCTCCTTCTCCTCTTCCTCCTCCTTCTCCTCCTCCTCCTCCTCCATCATCTCCCCGGCCTCAATGGCCTTCTTCCTCCTCTTGCCCTCTTCTTCTTCCCCTTCCTCTTCTTCCCCTTCCTCCCCTTCTTTGCCTGCCTCCCCGAAGACCCGGGGGTCGATCATCCTCAACACCTTCCTCACTTCCTCCTCCTCGAGGGCTCCCACTGCCAGCAGCGCCGACACCAGCTTCAACACGGGCACCAATTGGAACTCCACGCTTCCCCCCACCGGATCGCGAGCGTGCGGCGCCGCGCCGGTCACCGCCTCCGCCAGCATCCGGATGGCGCGAGCGCCGAGCTCTCCCAACGGGATGCTGGGACTCAACTGGGTCTTGCCGTTGCCCGGCGCGAGGATGAAGCAAGGATCGGCGAAGTGGGGCCGGGGACGGAGGCAGACGCCGGGGCCGACGCCGGGCGGCGCGGGTACGCGGGCGCCGTTGGGGAACAAGGCGATGCTCTTGGTGGCGGGAGTGATGGGTACGATGAACTCGGCGCTCATGGAAGAGCAGGCGCGTTGGGCAGCCTCCAAGTGCATGGCCAATAGGAGGTCGTAGTAACCGGCTCGGAGGGGACCCGGCAGTTCCGGGCTCTCGATGGCGAAGAGGAGTTGGGCCTGGTCAACGTGGCTGCAGAGCGCGTGCGCTACGCGGTTGTTGCCCAAGGCGCACACGGCGCAGTAGAGACGCAACGTGTGCTGCTGGAAGCGCTGCAGTTCCAGCTCCTCCGAGAGCTCCATGATGTCCAGGGTCCTGGGGGGGGGGAAATGGGGGTCGATGGGGGTCGATGGGGGTCGATGGGAGTTAACGGGAGTCAATGGGAGTCAATGGGAGTCAATGGGGGTCCATGGGGGTTGATGGGAGTCAATGGGAGTCAATGGGAGTCAATGGGGGTCGATGGGAGTCAATGGGCATCAATGGGAGTCAAGGGGAGTCAGTGGGACTCAACGAGGGTCAAGGGTGCCCATTGGCCTCAGGGGTGCCCAGTGGGACTCAACGAGGGTCAAGGGTGCCCATTGGCTTCAATGGGTGCTCACTGGCCTCAGGGGTGCCCAGTGGGACTCAACGAGGGTCAAGGGTGCCCATTGGCCTCAGGGGTGCCCAGTGGGACTCAACAAGGGTCAAGGGTGCCCATTGGCCTCAATGGGTGCCCACTGGGACTCAACGAGGGTCAAGCGTGCCCACTGGCCTCAGGGGTGCCCAGTGGAACTCAACGATGGTCAAGGGTGCCCATTGGCTTCAATGGGTGCCCAAGGGTGCCCATTGGCCTTAGGGGTGCCCACTGGGACTCAACGAGGGTCAAGGGTGCCCATTGGCCTCAGGGGTGCCCAGTGGGACTCAACGATGGTCAAGGGTGCCCATTGGCCTCAGGGGTGCCCAGTGGAACTCAACGATGGTCAAGGGTGCCCATTGGGCTCAATGGGTGCCCAAGGGCGCCCATTGGCCACAGTGGGTGCCCAAGGGTGCCCACTGGCCTCAGCGGGCGCCCAAGGGTGCCCATTGGCCTCAGCGGGTGCCGGGGGCTGACCTGTTCTCCTCGGGGATGTGCAGGGCCATCATGATGCGGGGCTCGGTGCACTCCACGGCCCAGCCCAGGCGCTCGCCCAACCGCGCCGTCTCCACGCTGAGGCTCTCGTTGGGGAGGCGGCTCCAGGTGACGGGGGTCAGGATCTGCACCCCAAGGCGTGGGGGGCACTGGGGCTCCGGGTTGCCCTGCTCGCTGCTGAACATGGCCGCCGAGATGGGCAGGATGTTCTGGGGGGGGAGAGGAGCAATGGGAGTCAATGGGGGGCAATGGGGGGCAATGGGAGTCAATGGGAGTCAATGGAGGCAACGGGAGGGAGTGGGAGTCAATGGGAGTCAATGGAGGCAACGGGTGGCAATGGGAGGCAATGGGAGTCAACGGGAGGCAATGGGAGTCAATGGGCATGAATCGGAGACAATAGGAGTCAATGGAGTCAATGGGAGTCAAAGGGAGTCAACGGGAGGCAATGGGGGGCAATCGGAGTCAATGGGAGTCAATGGAAGTCAACAGGAGTCAATGGGAGTCAACAGGATTCAACGGGAGGCAATGAGAGTCAACGGGAGGCAACGGGAGGCAATGGGGGGCAATGGGAGTCAACGGGAGTCAATGGAGTCAACGGAGTCAACGGGAGGCAATGGGGGGCAATGGGGGGCAATGGGAGTCAACGGGAGTCAACAGAGTCAACGGGAGGCAATGGGGGGCAATGGGAGTCAACGGGAGTCAATGGGAGTCAACAGGAGTCAACGGGAGCCAACGGGAGGCAATGGGGGGCAATGGGAGTCAACGGGAATCAACGGAGTCAACGGGAGTCAACGGGAGTCAATGGGGGGCAATGGGAGTCAACGGGAGGGAATGGAGTCAATGGAGTCAATTGGAAGCAATGGGGGGCAATGGAGTCAGTCCACAGACCCCATCAACCCCTTGGTTCACCTTGAAGACCCCAAGGACCCTCCATAGACCCCAACAACCCCTTGGTCCACCCTATCGACTCCAAGCCCCTCCATAGACCCCCAGGTTCTCCTTGGCCACCAAGACCCCCCCCCAAAAAGGCCATCAGGGCCCCAAACCCCCAACCTTGGCCCCCCATTTCCCCATAGAGCCCCCAACTAAGGGGTCACCTTGAGCTTGCCCAGCTCGAACTGCAGGATGTTCTGGCTGGTGGGGACCACGAAGACGGCCGGGAAGAGCTTGGTGTTGGGTTCCACCTGCAGGGACCAAGGTGGGCATGGGGCGGCCAAGGGGCACGCGGGATGGGGTTGGGATGGGGTGGGGCGGGGATGGGGATGGGGATGGGGTGGGGATGGGATGGGGATGGATGGGGATGGGGTGGGGATGGGATGGGGATGGGGATGGGGTGGGGATGGGATGGGGATGGGGTGGGGAGGAACCGTGGGGATGGGGATGGGATGGGGATAGGGAATGGGGATAGGGGATGGGGGATGGGAATGGGGATGGGGATGGGGTTGGGATGGGGTGGGGATGGGATGGGTATGGGGATGGGGTTGGGTTGGCATGGGGATGGGAACGGGATGGGGTGGGATGGGGATGGGATGGGGATGGGATGGGGTTGGGGATGGGATGGGGATGGGATGGGGATGGGTTGGGATGGGATGGGGTGGGGTGGGGATGGGGATGGGATGGGATGGGATGGGGTGGGGATGGGGTGGGGATGGGATGGGGATGGGGATGGGGATGGGGATGGGGATGGGGATGGGGATGGGGATGGGGATGGGATGGGGATGGGGATGGGGTGGGGATGGGGTGGGGATGGGATGGGGATGGGATGGGGCAGCAATGGGGCAGGGATGGGGTAGGGATGGGGATGGGGATGGGGATGGGGATGGGATGGGGATGGGATGGGGTGGGGATGGGGATGGGATGGGGATGGGGATGGGAATTGGGATGGGATTGGATGGGGATGGTGATGGGGATGGGGATGGGATAGGGATGGGATTGGATGGGAATAGGGTGAAATGCGAATGGAGTGGGATGATAATGGGATGGGATGGGGATGGGGATTGGGATTGGGAATGGGGAATGGGATTGGGATGGGGATGGGATTGGGATGGGATGGGGTTGAGATGGGGATGGGAATGGGGATGGGATGGGGTTGGGAAGATGGATGGGGATGGGGATGAGATGGGATGGGGATGGGATGGGGATAGGATGGGGATGGGGATGGGATGGGATTGGGATGGGATTGGGATGGGGATGGGATGGGGATGGGATGGGGATGGGACGGGGATGGGGATGGGAAGGGGATGGGATGGGGATGGGATTGGATGGGGATGGGGGGGGGATGGGGATGGGGATGGGGATGGGGATGGGGATGGGGATGGGGATGGGATGGGATGGGATGGGGTGGGGATGGGGATGGGGATGGGATGGGGTTGGGATGGGATGGGATGGGGATGGGGATGGGATGGGGATGGGATGGGGATGTGGATGGGGATGGGGTTGGGTTGGGATGGGGATGGGATAGGGATGGGATGGGGATGGGATGGGGTGGGGATGGGATGGGGATGGGATGGGGATGGGGTGGGGATGGGATGGGGTTGGGATGGGGATGGGGATGGGGATGGGGATAAGATGGGGATGGGATGGGATTGGGATGGGGTTGTGCTCTCCCCCCCAACATTGGGGTTCCATGGTTGGGGGGGGTGTCCATGGGGGGGTTCCACCCCACCTGGAAGAAGGTGTCGACCTCCTTGCCGTTGGCGGTGAAGGTGAGGAGCCCGGTGGCCAGGTCCACGAGGCAGCCGATGACCAGGTCGCTGTGGCTCACGCGGCCCTGCTGGCTGCTGCTGAACTCCCCGCCCCACACCATGTAGCAGTTGCTGTGCTTGATGCTGGGGGGCGGAAAAAGGGGGTGATGGATGGGGATGGGGGGGGGGAGGGAATTCACATGGGAGCCCCGGATCTGGAACCCCATCACCCCCAAAACCCATCCCCATCATAGGAACGCCCCAAATGGCATCCTCATCAAGGACAGAGCCATCCCCATCACCCCAGGACCCCCCAAACCCCATCCCGATTCCCCCCCATCCCCATCACCCCCAAACCCCATCCCCATCACCCCAGGATCCCCCAAACCCCGTCCCCATGGCACCAAACCCTATCCCCATCACCCCCAAACCCCATCCCCATCACCCCATGACCCCCCAAACCCCATCCCCATGACACCAAACCCCATTCCCATCACCCCCAAACCCCATCCCCATCACCCCATGACCCCCCAAACCCCATCCCTGTGGCACCAAACCCCATCCTCCATCACCCCCCCATCCCCATTATCCCCCAAACCCCATCCCCGTCACCCCATGACCCCCCAAACCCGATCCCCATAGCACCAAACCCCATCCCCATCACCCCATCCCCATTATCCCCATCCCCATCCTCCCTATCCCCCCCAACCTCCATCCCCATCCCCATCACCCCAGGAAGCCCCCAAACCCCATCCCCATCCCCCCCATAACCCCCATTCCCCCCATCCCCCCCATCCCCCCATCCCCATTCCCCCCATAGGACCGTGGCTCCGCCCCCACCTGTGGTGCACGTGGCCCTGGCTGTCGCCCACGGTGACGGTGACGCTGCGCACGCGGCCCAGCTCGAAGGAGGCCTCGTGCTGGTGGAAGCCGGGGGTCACCCACCCGACCCACGCGCAGCCCGGCTCCTGCCCCGCCGGCAGCCGCACCGAGAAGTAGTGCTGGGGACAATGGGGGGCAATGGGAGTCAATGGGGGCAATGGGAGGCAATGGGGGGCAATGGGAGGCAATGGGAGTCAATGGGAGACAATGGGAGTCAATGGGAGTCAATGGGAGTCAACAGGGGGCAATGGGAGTCAACGGGAATCAATAGGAGGCAATGGGAGTCAATGGGAGTCAATGGGAGTCAACGGGAGGCAATGGGCGTCAATGGGAGTCAATTGGAGTCAACGGGAGTCAATGGGAGTCAATGGGAGTCAACGGGAGTCAACGGGAATCAATGGGGGGCAATAGGAGTCAATGGGGGGCAATGGGAGTCAATGGGGGGCAATGGGAGTCAATGGGGGCAATGGGAGGCAATGGGAGTCAACAGGAGGCAATGGGAGTCAATGGGAGTCAATGGGAGTCAACAGGGGGCAATGGGAGTCAACGGGAATCAATAGGAGGCAATGGGAGTCAATGGGAGTCAATGGGAGTCAACGGGAGGCAATGGGCGTCAATGGGAGTCAATTGGAGTCAACGGGAGTCAATGGGAGGCAATGGGAGTCAACGGGAGTCAACGGGAATCAATGGGGGGCAATAGGAGTCAATGGGAGTCAATGGGAGTCAATGGGGGCAATGGGAGGCAATGGGGGCAACGGGAGTCAATGGGAGTCAATGGGAGTCAATGGGAGTCAATGGGGGGCAATAGGAGTCAATGGGAGTCAATGGGAGTCAATGGGGGGCAATGGGAGTCAACGGGAGGCAATGGGAGTCAATGGGAGTCAACGGGAGTCAATGGGGGGCAATGGGAGTCAATGGGAGTCAATGGGAGTCAATGGGGGCAATGGGAGTCAATGGGGGGCAATGGGAGTCAATGGGAGTCAATGGGAGTCAATGGGGGGCAATGGGAGTCAATGGGAGTCAATGGGGCAATAGGAGTCAATGGGAGTCAATGGGAGTCAATGGGGCAATGGGAGTCAATGGGAGTCAATGGGGAGCAATGGGAGTCAATGGGAGTCAATGGGAGTCAATGGGGGTCAATGGGAGTCAATGGGAGTCAATGGTAGTCAATGGGAGTCAATGGGGGGCAATGGGAGGCAATGGGAGTCAATGGGAGTCAATGGGAGTCAATGGGAGTCAATGGGGGCAATGGGAGTCAATGGGGGTCAATGGGAGTCAATGGGGGCAATGGGAGTCAATGGGAGTCAATGGGAGTCAATGGGAGTCAATGGGGAGCAATGGGAGTCAATGGGAGTCAATGGGAGTCAATGGGGGCAATGGGAGTCAATGGGGGGCAATGGGAGTCAACGAGAGGCAATGGGAGTCAATGGGAGTCAATGGGAGTCAATAGGAGTCAATGGGGGAAATGGGAGTCAATGGGAGTCAATGGGGGCAATGGGAGTCAATGGGAGTCAATGGGAGGCAATGGGGGGCAATGGGAGTCAATAGGGGGCAATGGGAGTCAATGGGGGCAACGGGAGTCAATGGGAGTCAATGGGGGGCAATGGGAATCAACGGGAGGCAATGGGAGTCAATGGGAGTCAATGGGAGTCAATGGGGGGCAATGGGAGTCAATGGGAGTCAATGGGAGTCAATGGGAGTCAATGGGGGGCAATGGGAGTCAATGGGGGTCATTGGGAGTCAATGGGAGTCAATGGGGGGCAATGGGAGTCAATGGGAGTCAATGGGAGTCAATGGGGGCAATGGGAGTCAATGAGAGTCAATGGGGGCAATGGGAGTCAATGGGGGCAATGGGAGTCAATGGGAGGCAATGGGAGGCAATGGGAGTCAATGGGAGTCAATGGGAGTCAATGGGGGGCAATGGGAGTCAATGGGAGTCAATGGGGAGCAATGGGAGTCAATGGGAGTCAATGGGAGTCAATGGGAGTCAATGGGAGTCAATGGGAGTCAATGGGGGGCAATGGGAGTCAACAGGAGGCAATGGGAGGCAATGGGAGTCAATGGGAGTCAATGGGAGTCAATGGGAGTCAATGGGAGTCAATGGGAGGCAATGGGAGTCAACGGGAGTCAATGGGAGGCAATGGGAGTCAACGGGAGTTAATGGGAGTCAATGGGAGTCAATGGGAGTCAATGGGAGTCAATGGGGGCAATGGGAGTCAATGGGAGTCAATGGGAGTCAATGGGGGTCAATGGGAGTCAATGGGAGTCAATGGGAGTCAATGGGAGTCAATGAGGGGTCAATGGGAGTCAATGGGAGTCAATGGGAGTCAATGGGGGCAATGGGAGTCAATGGGGGGCAATGGGAGTCAATGGGGGGCAATGGGAGTCAATGGGAGTCAATGGGAGTCAATGGAAGTCAATGGGAGTCAATGGGGGTCAATGGGGGGCAATGGGGGGCAATGGGGGTCAATGGGAGTCAATGGGAGTCAATGGGGGCAATGGGAGTCAATGGGGGGCAATGGGAGTCAATGGGAATGGGAGTCAATGGGAGTTAATGGGAGTCAATGGGGGCAATGGGAGTCAATGGGGGCAACGGGAGTCAATGGGAGTCAATGGGGGGCAATGGGAAACAACGGGAGGCAATGGGAGTCAATGGGAGTCAATGGGAGTCAATGGGAGTCAATGGGGGAAATGGGAGTCAATGGGAGTCAATGGGGGCAATGGGAGTCAATGGGAGTCAATGGGAGGCAATGGGGGGCAATGGGAGTCAATGGGAGTCAATGGGTGCAATGGGCGGCTAAAAGGGGGGCAATGGGAGTCAATGGGAGTCAATGGGGGACAATGGGAGTCAATGGGGGGCAATGGGAGTCAATGGGAATGGGAGTCAATGGGGGTCATTGGGAGTCAATGGGAGTCAATGGGGGGCAATGGGAGTCAATGGGAGTCAATGGGAGTCAATGGGGGCAATGGGAGTCAATGGGGGGCAATGGGAGTCAATGGGAGTCAATGGGGGCAATGGGAGTCAATGGGGGGCAATGGGAGTCAATGGGAGTTAATGGGAGTCAATGGGGGCAATGGGAGTCAATGGGGGGCAATGGGAGTCAATGGGGGGCAATGGGAGTCAATGGGAGTCAATGGGAGTCAATGGAAGTCAATGGGAGTCAATGGAAGTCAATGGGAGGCAATCGGAGGCAATGGGAGGCAACGGGGGGCAATGGGAGTCAATAGGGGGCAATGGGAGTCAATGGGAGTCAATGGGAGTCAATGGGGGGCAATGGGAGTCAATGGGAGTCAATGGGAGTCAATGGGGGCAATGGGAGTCAAGGGGAGTCAAGAGGGGGCAATGGGAGTCAATGGGAGGCAATGGGAGGCAGTGGGATACCCTGCGATACAGGGATGCACTGGTACCGGGATGCAGTGATACCCGGATGCAGTGATACCGGGATGCAGTGGTACCCGGATGCACTGGCACCGGCAACGCAGTGGTACCCAGATGCAGTGATACCGGGATGCAGTGGCACCGGGATGCAGTGATACCAGGATGCAGTGATACCAGGATGCAGTGGTACCGGGATGCAGTGGTACCCGGATGCAGTGGTACCGGGATGCAGTGGTACTGGGATGCAGTGGGACCCGGATGCAGTGGTACCCGGATGCAGTGATACCGGGATGCAGTGGTACCCGGATGCAGTGGTACCCGGATGCAGTGATACCGGGATGCAGTGGTACCGGGATGCAGTGGCACTGGGATGCAGTGATACCGGGATGCAGTGGTACCGGGATGCAGTGGTACCCGGATGCAGCGATACCAGGATGCAGTGGTACCGGGATGCAGCGGTACCGGGATGCAGTGATACCCGGATGCAGTGGTACCGGGATGCAGTGATACCGGGATGCAGTGGTACCGGGATGCAGTGGTACCTGGATGCAGTGATACCGGGATGCAGTGGTACCCGGATGCAGTGGTACCCGGATGCAGCGATACCAGGATGCAGCGGTACCCGGATGCAGTGGTACCCGGATGCAGTGATACCCGGATGCAGTGGTACCGGGATGCAGTGGTACCCGGATGCAGCGGTACCGGGATGCAGTGGTACCTGGATGCAGTGGTACCGGGATGCAGTGGTACCCGGATGCAGTGGTACCGGGATGCAGTGGTACCCGGATGCAGTGGTACCCGGATGCAGTGATACCCGGATGCAGTGGTACCGGGATGCAGCGGTACCCGGATGCAGCGGTACCGGGATGCAGTGGTACCCGGATGCAGTGATACCGGGATGCAGTGGTACCCGGATGCAGTGGTACCGGGATGCAGTGGTACCCGGATGCAGTGGTACCCGGATGCAGTGGCACTGGTATGCAGTGGTACCCGGATGCAGTGATACCGGGATGCAGTGATACTGGGATGCAGCGGTACCCGGATGCAGCGGTACCCGGATGCAGTGGTACCCAGATGCAGTGATACTGGGATGCACTGGCACCGGGATGCAGTGGCACTGGGATGCAGTGGTACCCGGATGCAGTGATACCGGGATGCAGTGGTACCCAGATGCAGTGGTACCCGGATGCAGTGGTACCGGGATGCAGTGGCACCGGGATGCAGTGGTACCCGGATGCAGTGATACCCGGATGCAGTGGTACCCGGATGCAGTGGTACCGGGATGCAGTGATACCTGGATGCAGTGATACCGGGATGCAGTGGTACCCGGATGCAGTGATACCGGGATGCAGTGGTACCCGGATGCAGTGATACCCGGATGCAGTGGTACCGGGATGCAGTGGTACCCGGATGCAGTGATACCGGGATGCAGTGATACCGGGATGCAGTGGTACCCGGATGCAGTGGTACCCGGATGCAGTGATACCGGGATGCAGTGGTACCGGGATGCACTGGCAGCGGGATGCAGTGGTACCCGGATGCAGTGATACCGGGATGCAGTGGTACCCGGATGCACTGGCACCGGGATGCAGTGATACCGGGATGCAGTGGCACTGGGATGCACTGGCAGCGGGATGCAGTGGCACTGGGATGCAGTGACACCGGGATGCAGTGGTACCCGGATGCAGTGGTACCCGGATGCAGTGATACCGGGATGCAGTGGTACCCGGATGCAGTGGTACCCGGATGCAGTGATACCGGGATGCAGTGGTACCCGGATGCACTGGCACCGGGATGCAGTGATACCGGGATGCAGTGGCACTGGGATGCACTGGCAGCGGGATGCAGTGGCACTGGGATGCAGTGGCACCGGGATGCAGTGGTACCCGGATGCAGTGGTACCCGGATGCAGTGATACCGGGATGCAGTGGTACCCGGATGCAGTGGTACCCGGATGCAGTGATACCGGGATGCAGTGGCACCGGGATGCAGTGGTACCGGGATGCAGTGGTACCCGGATGCAGTGGTACCGGGATGCAGTGGTACCCAGATGCAGTGGTACCGGGATGCACTGGCACTGGGATGCAGTGATACCGGGGTCCCCCCCCCGTACCGTGGTGCTGTCCCGGATGACTTCGGGGTCATCGCGCTCGGCAGGGACCACATCCTGCTCCAGGCGGGGGACGCTGGGGGCCGCTGGGGGGGGCGCGAACGGCGGCTTCCGGCCCTTGAACAGGAACCTATGGGGGGCAGTGGGGGGTCAAGGGGGCACAGGGACCCACACA